CCCGTCCCTTCCGACCAGGGAAGGTTGCAGTGTGGAAGTTCTAATCCTGTCCCTTCCAACCAGGAGTGGTTGCAGTGTGGAAGTTCTAATCCCGCCCTTCCGACCAGGGAAGGTTGCAGTGTGGAAGTTCTAATCCCGTCCCTTCCGACCAGGAGTTGCAGTGTGGAAGTTCTAATCCCGTCCCTTCCGACCAGGAGAGTGGTTGCAGTGTGGAAGTTCTAATCCCCCTTCCAACCAGGGAAGGTTGCCTAATCCCTTCCAACCAGGAGTGGTTGCAGTGTGGTAAGTTCTAATCCTGTCCCTTCCAACCAGGGGAAGTGGTTGCAGAGTAGTAGTTCTAATCCCGTCCCTTCCAACCAGGGAGGTTGTAGTGGGTTGCAGTGTGGTAGTTCTAATCCTGCCCTTCCAACCAGGAGTGGTTGCAGTGTGGAAGTTCTAATCCCAACCCTTCCGACCAGAAGTTTGCAGTATGGAAGTTCTAATCCTGCTCCTTCCGACCAGGAGTCGTTGCAGTTTGGAAGTTCTAATCCCCCCTTCCGACCAGGAAGTTGCAGTATGGTGGTTCTAATCCTGTCCCTTCCAACCAGGAGAGGTTGCAGTGTGGTAGTTCTAATCCCGTCCCTTCCAACCAGGAGTGGGTTGCAGTAGGGTAGTTCTAATCCACCCCTTCCGACCGAAGTGGTTGCAGTTTGGAAGTTCTAATTCCACCCTTCCGACCAGAGAGTTGCAGTATGGTGGTTCTCCCGTCCCTTCCGAATCCTGCCCCTTCCGACTAGAAGTGGTTGCAGTGTGGAAGTTCTTATCCTGTCTCTTCCGACCAGGAGTGGTTGCAGTGGTTGCAGTGTGGAAGTTCTAATCCTGTGGAAGTTCCCTTCCAACCAGGAGTGGTTGCAGTGTGGAAGTTCTAATCCTGCCCCTTCCAACCAGGGGGTGGGAAGTTGTAGTGTGTAGTAGTTCTAATCCCGTCCCTTCCGACCAGGAGTGGTTGCAGTGTGGATGTTCTAGTCCTGCCCTTCCGATCGGGAGTGGTTGCAGTGTGGAAGTTCTAATCCCATCCCTTACGACCAGAAGTTGCAGTATGTGTTCTAGTCCTGTCCCTTCCAATAAGGAGAGGTTGTAGAGTGGTAGTTCTAATCCCGTCCCTTCCGACCAGAGGTTGCAGTGTGGAAGTTCTAATCCCACCCCTTCCGACCAGGAGTGGTTGCAGTTTGGAAGTTCTAATCCCGTCCCTTCTGACCAGGAGTGGTTGCAGTGTGGAAGTTCTAATCCTGTCTCTTCCGACCAGGAGTGGTTGCAGTGTGGAAGTTCTAATCCTGCCCCTTCCAACCAGGGGAGGTTGTAGTGTGGTAGTTCTAATCCCGTCCCTTCCGACCAGGAGTGGTTGCAGTGTGGTAGTTCTAATCCTGCCCCTTCCAACCAGGGGGAGGTTGTAGAGTAGTAGTTCTAATCCCGTCCCTTCCGACCAGGAGTGGTTGCAGTGTGGATGTTCTAGTCCTGCCCTTCCGACCAGGAGTGGTTGCAGTGTGGAAGTTCTAATCCCATCCCTTCCGACCAGAAGTGTAGAGTGCAGTATGGTGTTTCTAGTCCCACCCTTCTTCTAATCCAACCCCTTCCAACCAGGAGTGGAGCAGTAGCCCCTTCCAACCAGGAGTGGTTGCAGTGTGGAAGTTTTAATCCTGTTCCGACCAGAGTGGTAGTTCTAATTCCATCCTGTCCCTTCCGACCAGAAGTTGCAGTGTGGAAGTTCTAGTCCCACCCCTTCCGACCAGGAGTGGTTGCAGTTTGGAAGTTTTAATTCCGTCCCTTCCGACCAGGAGTGGTTGCAGTGTGGAAGTTCTAATCCTGTCTCTTCCGACCAGGAGTGGTTGCAGTTTGGAAGTTCTAATCCTGCCCCTTCCAACCAGGGGAGGTTGTAGAGTAGTAGTTCTAATCCCACCCCTTCCAACCAGGAGTGGTTGCAGTATGGTGGTTCTAATCCTGCCCCTTCCAACCAGGAGTGGTTGCAGTGTGGAAGTTCTAATCCCACCCCTTCCGACCAGAAGTTGCAGTATGGTGGTTCTAATCCTGCCCCTTCCGACCAGGAGTGGTTGGAGTGTGGAAGTTCTAATCCCGTCCCTTCTGACCAGGAGTGGTTGCAGTAGGGTAGTTCTAATCAAGCCCCTTCCAACCACAAATGGTTGCAGTGTGGTGGTTCAAATCCCACCCCTTCCGAAGAGAATTTGCAGTAGGGCAGTACTATTCCTTTCCCTTCCGACCAGAAGTTGCAGTAGGGTAGTCCTAATCCGGTTAGTAGGGTAGTTCTAATCCCATCCCCTTCCGACGAGAAGTTGCAGTAGGGGAGTTCTAATCCTGCCCCTTCCAACCAGCAGAGGTTGCAGTGGGTTAGTTCTAATCCACAATTGACACTTGGTCAGGGAACAACAGCCAGATAAGCAGCAATCCTAAAAATAGTAAAACAATTCACACATATAAATTTTCTACTGTATTACACTGTCAAATGCTTTTTCATGAATAAACTTGGCGTTATTTCACACAATTACTGCCTTTACATCATGGATAGTTGTTCATGCATTCAGTTCTGTTGTCGGGATCCCAGAGTTAACATGGTCTCCTGCAAAGTATGCTTGTGGAGAGAATGTGTGTCACTGGGAACGAATTCGTGGTTGGTTGTTCATGCTTTTCTTGTCCTTTTGGTCACTGACCCGTGAACATCCGGGGTAGAATAGGTATTCAGCAACCAATGCTTTCCACAAAAGGCGACTATGCTTGTCGTAAGAGGCGACTAACCGGATCAGGTGGTCAGGCTCGCTGACTTGGTAGACACGTCATCGGTTCCCAATTGCGCAGGTCGATGCTCATGTTGATCACTGGATTGTCTGGTCCAGACTCGATTATTTACAGACTGCTGCCATATAACTGGAATATTGCTGAGTGCGTTGCAAAACTAAACTCACTCACTCACTCCTTTTGGTCACTAAGCAGAGGCGTAGCTACCATAATAAAACAAAGCCTGGGCTTACACGATTGTTGCTAATAAGGCTGGACAAGCCCTCAATTCTCAATTCTAAATATGAAGCTTTGCAACCTATCGGACTTACACGGAAAGAATGGCTTGCTACGCGCATGCTAGGGGTTGTGGGGTAGGCTAGCGGTTAAAGCATTGGCTTGTCATGCCGAAGGCCTGCGTTCGTTTTCCCACATGGGTACAATATGTGAAGCCCATTTCTGGTGTCCCCAACTCCCCGCCATGATATTGCTGGAATATTGCTGAAAGCGGCGAAACCATACTCACTCACTCACTGGTAAGGTTGGTCCATTGTGACAGCAAGCCACTTGACACGTTGGGTGCTTGGACTCGGACATGGTCAAATCCCCAGCCATCCTTCATTGATTTGACCAGGTTCCAGTATTTTCAGGCTGTGCTGATAAAGATGGTTCACAATCCGATTATACACCAAATGGTTAGTCCAGAGTGATAATTCATAATGGGATTGATATACATGTAGATCAAGTAACCTGCCACACAATATGGTCAAGGGAGATCTTCAAACATGTGTTTCAGTGTTGCTCTGAGGTTAATTGTATGGGGTTTCTCATTAGTTTCTTGTTGAAATGAAGTCGCTAGGTGGTGGTGTGTGGTGATGTCATGTAGTGTGTGGTGATCAGAAACTGGTTGTCTGCTCCTCATATTAACCTGTGAAGTTACCGCTTCTCTCGCATCCTTTCCCTATAACTAGTAAGATATTGTCCTGATAGTAACATGTACATATATATTTGCTTCATCTGTGTGTTTTCACCATATCTGACTATTTATCAGAAGTGGTTTTTCATCAGGCCATTAATAATAATATTTAACACAGTAGATTTGTTATGCGCCAAAACTCCAGGAACTTGGTGTCTGCTCATGGCGCTACACAAAATTATAATACACTGCAGTAGAGGTGCTATGTTTTCACTGGTATATCAATCTTTATAGAACTTTTGGAAGAGATGAGTCTTTATGAAACTTTTAAAGATTGTCAATGCTTTATTCCCAAGGGAAGATCGCTCCACAGAGTTGGGGCCATGTAAGCAAATGAGCTCTGTCCATACTCTTTCAGGCGGGATTTGGGTACTTTAGTGGAGTTTTTCAAGTGGGCCTGATCAATGTGCAATCTTGTGGACATTCTACCCAATGTAAGTCTTTGCTCGTGTTGGGGTGTGTGGTCAAGCTGGATGTCTTACCCAGTTGATTGTCGAAGTACCTGCCTGTGTTGCTCATGCAGTCAGTCAGTGGTTAAACTGGGCTATCTACAGGCATTTGATGGCAACCTGTAAATAATCAAGGGTCAGATAATCCTGTGATTGATATCATGAGCAGTGATCCATGTCATTTGGGTACACTGACACGCCATCATACCAGACACTGACCACCTGATGGATTTAGTCACCATTTACTGCCTTCACCTGTTGCTGCTGATGTTGGGCGTCAAGGTGAGGGGAGGAGAAATGGGGTTTAATGTCGTACTTGAGAATATTTCGCTCATATGACGATGTGTGTGTGTGTATGTGTGGCTGCTTGTACTAGCCCAGACTTAAGCTGTTTATTTAGTGCTAGCTCACTGAGATACCATGCCGCAGTTATAAGCAAGAATACCCCGCTCAGACACATTATACTGACTCCGAGCTGACCAGTCCTTGTACACATTAATGCTGAGCGCCAGGCAGGGACCAACAAGTACCATATTTTAACGCATTTTGGTATGATGCAGCTGGGGATCAAACCTGCAAACTTCCGCTCTCTGGGTGGATGCTCTAACCACTAAACCACGGAGGCTCTCCGTCATAATGCAACACAGCTATCGTAAGTCTGTGTTAAGGTATGGGGGGTATGGTCACCATAGTACTAAGGTCACCTTGTATAACCCACGATACCAGCAGAGGACAACACAATGTGTGTCTGGAGACGATAACTCTTCATCAGCCACTGATGGTCTTGTCAGTCAGAAAGGCAAAAACAGTTGGAACAAATTATTTATTCTCAAATCACTGTCATACAATATTTACACACACCATAATATTATACCACTTTCGTCACTTGGGTTGACAGTGTATTATGCAGACATGGCTTTCAATGAATTCAGACACTGTCCAACGTTCTAATTAGGTGGTACTTCACAAAAGCCCTGGCATAAGTATACTTGAATTGATCATTGCAGATGTGTACAGGTGCAGATGTGTACAGGTGCAGGGTTCGAACAACACATCATGCAGTTTCAGACTTGGGACATCTGTATGGGAAGTGACGATCTGACTCTGATGTGTTGCATGCTGGGATCTGTTCCATGGTAGTGGCCAGCACCATCATCTAAAAACATTAACATTTGCATCAATCCCAGTCTTGTTGCACAATGTCCCACCCTCCCTGTACAATGTTCCACTTTCCTGTACAATGTCCCATCCTTTCTGTACAATGTCCCATCCTTTCTGTACAATGTCTCATCCTTTCTGTACAATGTCCCATCCTTCCTGTACAATGTCCCATCTTCCTGTACAATGTTCCATCCTTCCTGTAGAATATCCCACCTTCATGTACAATGCCCCACCTTCCTGTAGAATATCCCACCTTTATGTACAATGTTCAATCCTTCCTGTAGAATATCCCACCTTTATGTACAATGCCCTACCTTCCTGTAGAATATCCCACCTTTATGTACAATGCCCTATATGTACAATGCCTTCCTGTAGAATATCCCACCTTTATGTACAATGCCCTACCTTCCTGTAGAATATCCCACCTTTATGTACAATGCCCTACCTTCCTGTAGAATATCCCACCTTTATGTACAATGTTCAATCCTTCCTGTAGAATGCCCTTTATGCCTTCCTTCCTGTAGAATATCCCACCTTTATGTACAATGCCCTACCTTCCTGTAGAATATCCCACCTTTATGTACAATGCCCTACCTTCCTGTAGAATATCCCACCTTTATGTACAATGTTCAATCCTTCCTGTAGAATATCCCATCTTTATGTACAATGCCCTACCTTCCTGTAGAATATCCCATCTTTATGTACAATGCCCTGCCTTCCTGCAGAATATCCTACCTTTATGTACAATGCCCTACCTTCTTGTACAATGTTCAATCCTTCCTGCAGAATATCCCACCTTTATGTACAATGCCCTGCCTTCCTGCAGAATATCCCACCTTTATGTACAATGCCCTACCTTCCTGTAGAATATCCCACCTTTATGTACAATGCCCTGCCTTCCTGCAGAATATCCCACCTTTATGTACAATGCCCTGCCTTCCTGCAGAATATCCCACCTTTATATGTCCTGCAATGTTCCCTACCTTCCTGTAGAATATCCCACCTTTATGTACAATGCCCCTTCCGTGCCTATCCTACCTTTATGTACAACAATGCCCTACCTTCCTTCTGTAGAATATCCCACCTTTATGTACAATGCCCTACCTTCCTTCCCGTAGAATATCCCACCTTTATGTACAATGCCCTACCTTCCTGTAGAATATCCCACCTTTATACACAATGCCCTACCTTCTCGTACAATGTTCTACCTTCCTGTAGAACATCCCACCTTTATGTACAATGCCCTACCTTCCTGTAGAATATCCCACCTTTATGTACAATGCCCTACCTTCCTGTAGAATATCCTACCTTTATGTACAATGCCCTGCCTTCCTGTAGAATATCCCACCTTTATGTACAATGCCCTACCTTCCTGTAGAATATTCCACCTTTTTTGTACAATGCCCTACCTTCTTGTAGAATATCCCACCTTGATGTACAATGCCCTACCTTCCTGTATAATATTCCGCCTTTTTTGTACAATGCCCTACCTTCCTGTAGAATATCCCACCTTTATGTACAATGCCCTACCTTCCTGTAGAATGTCCCACCTTTTTGTACAATGCCCTACCTTCCTGTACAATGCCCTACCTTCTTGTACAATGTTCCATCCTTCCTGTAGAATATCCCATCTTTATGTACAATGCCCTGCCTTCCTGCAGAATATCCCACCTTTATGTACAATGCCCTACCTTCCTGTAGAATATTCCACCTTTTTTGTACAATGCCCTACCTTCTTGTAGAATATCCCACCTTGATGTACAATGCCCTACCTTCCTGTATAATATTCCGCCTTTTGTACAATGCCCTACCTTCCTGTAGAATATCCCACCTTTATGTACAATGCCCTGCCCTTCCTGTAGAATGTCCCACCTTTTGTACAATGCCCTACCTTCCTGTACAATGCCCTACCTTCTTGTACAATGTTCCATCCTTCCTGTAGAATATCCCATCTTTATGTACAATGCCCTGCCTTCCTGCAGAATATCCTACCTTTATGTACAATGCCCTACCTTCCTGTAGAATATCCCACCTTTATGTACAATGTTCAATCCTTCCTGTAGAATATCCCACCTTTATGTACAATGCCCTACCTTCCTGTAGAATATCCCACCTTTATGTACAATGCCCTACCTTCTTGTACAATGTTCAATCCTTCCTGCAGAATATCCTTATTTTGTACAATGCCTTCCTTCCTGTAGAATATCCCACCTTTATGTACAATGCCCTACCTTCCTTGTACAATGTTCAATCCTTCCTGCAGAATATCCCACCTCATGCATACAATGCCCTGCCTTTTGTTTATGTACAATGCCCTACCTTCCTGTACAATAGAGAATATCCCACCTTATGTACAATCCCACCTTCCCGTGCAGAATGTACCTTATGTAATGCCCTACCTTCCTGCCAAGAATATCCCACCTTTATGTACAACGCCTTACCTTCCTGTAGAATATTCCACCTTTTTTGTACAATGCCCTACCTTCCTGTAGAATATCCCACCTTTATGTACAATGCCCTCTACCTTCCTGTAGAATGTTCCACCTTTTTGTACAATGCCCTACTGCAGTAGAATGTCCACCTATACCTTCAATGCCCTGCCTTCCTGTAGAATATCCCACCTTTTATGTACAATGCCCTACCTTCCTGTAGAGATATCCCACCTTTATGTACAATGCCCTTTTATGTAGAATATCCCACCTTTATGTACAATGTTCAATCCTTCCTGTAGAATATCCCACCTTTATGTACAATGCCCTACCTTCCTGTAGAATATCCCACCTTTATGTACAATGCCCTACCTTCCTGCAGAATATCCCACCTTTATGTACAATGCCCTACCTTCTTGTACAATGTTCAATCCTTCCTGTAGAATATCCCACCTTTATGTACAATGCCCTGCCTTCCTGTAGAATATCCCACCTTTATGTACAATGCCCTACCTTCCTGTAGAATATCCCACCTTTATGTACAATATCCTACCTTCCTGTAGAATATCCCACCTTTATGTACAATGTTCAATCCTTCCTGTAGAATATCCCACCTTTATGTACAATGCCCTACCTTCCTGTAGAATATCCCACCTTTATGTACAATGCCCTACCTTCCTGTAGAATATCCCACCTTTATGTACAATGCCCTACCTTCCTGTAGAATATCCCACCTTATGTACAGTAATATCCCACCTTTCCTGTAGAATATCCCACCTTTATGTACAATGTTCAATCCTTCCTGTAGAATATCCCACCTTTATGTATGTACAATGCTCCTACCTTCCTGTAGAATATCCCACCTTTATGTACAATGCCCTACCTTCCTGTAGAATATCCCACCTTTATGTACAATGCCCTACCTTCCTGTAGAATATCCCACCTTTATGTACAATGCCCTACCTTCCTGTAGAATATCCCACCTTTATGTACAATGCCCTACCTTCCTGTAGAATATTCCACCTTTTTTGTACAATGCCCTACCTTCCTGTAGAATATCCCACCTTTATGTACAATGCCCTACCTTCCTGTAGAATATTCCACCTTTTTGTACAATGCCCTACCTTCCTGTAGAATATCCCACCTTTATGTACAATGCCCTACCTTCCTGTAGAATATCCCACCTTTTTGTACAATGCCCTACCTTCCTGTAGAATATCCCACCTTTATGTACAAAGTTCCATCCTTCCTGTAGAATATCCCATCTTTATGTACAATGCCCTGCCTTCCTGTAGAATATCCCACCTTTATGTACAATGCCCTGCCTTCCTGCAGAATATCCTACCTTTATGTACAATGCCCTACCTTCTTGTACAATGTTCAATCCTTCCTGTAGAATATCCCACCTTTATGTACAATGCCCTACCTTCCTGTAGAATATCCCACCTTTATGTACAATGCCCTACCTTCTTGTACAATGTTCAATCCTTCCTGCAGAATATCCCACCTTTATGTACAATGCCCTACCTTCCTGTAGAATATCCCACCTTTATGTACAATGCCCTACCTTCCTGTAGAATATCCCACCTTTATGTACAATGCCTTACCTTCCTGTAGAATATTCCACCTTTTTTGTACAATGCCCTACCTTCTTGTAGAATATCCCACCTTTATGTACAATGCCCTACCTTCCTGTAGAATATCCCACCTTTTTGTACAATGCCCTACCTTCCTGTAGAATATCCCACCTTTATGTACAATGCCCTACCTTCCTGTAGAATATCCCACCTTTTTGTACAATGCCCTACCTTCCTGTACAATGCCCTGCTTCTGCACTGTGTAGGTGAAAGATGTGAAAGGTGCAACAGGTGACTTGGCTACCAGCACCTGCAACAAACACACAAGCTTCATTTGAATGGCATTTCTTAATTGTTATTTCTATGGATACATACAAACGTCAGGAAAAGCCTGATGATGACCTATGTAATCAGTCTGTTTACCTGTCTGCGGTCAGCTTCTAGGTACATCTGGGTAAGCCTGATGATGACCTATGTAATCAGTCTGTTTACCTGTCTCCGGTCAGCTTCCAGGTACATCAGGATAAGCCTGATGATGACCGATGTAATCAGTCTGTTTACCTGTCTGCGGTCAGCTTCTAGGTACATCTGGGTAAGCCTGATGATGACCGATGTAATCAGTCTGTTTACCTGTCTCCGGTCAGCTTCTAGGTACATCTGGGTAAGCCTGATGATGACCTATGTAATCAGTCTGTTTACCTGTCTGCGGTCAGCTTCTAGGTACATCTGGATAAGCCTGATGATGACCGATGTAATCAGTCTGTTTACCTGTCTCCGGTCAGCTTCTAGGTACATCTGGGTAAGCCTGATGATGACCGATGTAATCAGTCTGTTTACCTGTCTCCGGTCAGCTTCTAGGTACATCTGGGTAAGCCTGATGATGACCGATGTAATCAGTCTGTTTACCTGTCTCCGGTCAGCTTCTAGGTACATCTGGATAAGCCTGATGATGACCGATGTAATCAGTCTGTTTACCTGTCTCTCGTCAGCTTCTAGGTACATCTGGGTAAGCCTGATGATGACCTATGTAATCAGTCTGTTTACCTGTTCTCGGTCAGCTTCTGGTACATCTGGGTAAGCCTGATGATGACCTATGTAATCAGTCTGTTTACCTGTCTCCGGTCAGCTTCTAGGTACATCTGGGTAAGCCTGATGATGACCGATGTAATCAGTCTGTTTACCTGTCTCCGGTCAGCTTCTAGGTACATCTGGGTAAGCCTGATGATGACCTATGTAATCAGTCTGTTTACCTGTCTCCGGTCAGCTTCTAGGTACATCTGGGTAAGCCTGATGATGACCTATGTAATCAGTCTGTTTACCTGTCTGCGGTCAGCTTCCAGGTACTGCAGGATAAGCCTTGTGTTCACACTGTGACTCCACGTGTTGCCTAGTGCTGCCGTCACGAAGCCTGCGTCTCCCTCGGCTGTCACACTGCTGCTGCCATCTACAGGGGTTTAATTTATATAACACCATTATATTTTAATTTTTAGTCATTACAAACTTTACTAGATTGCTGATACAATTTGGTTATTTCAGCAACTAAATTAGTCGTGTTAAGCACAAAGGCCACTTTACGATAGAAGGGTGAGCATTGGGTGCAGGGGGAGAATTCTACCATGGAACCCTGCAAGGAGAGGCATGGTGTACGGGGGATCTATTATCCCCTATTCTGCTTGGGCCCTTGTTTAGAAACAATATTATTACATTACAGCTGAAATACATACCATGCTCACTGTCAAGCACTGCACCTGGTCTGCCATACCGTGTTGTAATTTGATTAGTGACCACCACCTGAAAGCAACGTCAGTTTACTTCATCGTGTTACGTGCCCCTGTATATTGCTTTACAGAACATCTGTGTTTAGTTTAACCTCACTTCTCCACAACCTGAAAACAGATTCAGAGGAACCTCCCTTGTACAGACCCTGTCAAACTGGCATGAACCACAATGCTAAAACATTTCTCTTCGGTATGACACTTCTTTCCTTTTGCATGAAACTGCTAAATGATGGGCACATGATTACCTAGACTAAGGCTTAGTCTCTGAATATATATAATTTGGATAGTAGCAAACAAGCCCATTTATATTGAAAAGGAGCCCTAGGGAGACCAGAGATTCAGAGGAAATCTAGACTTGCTTTATTTAGAGCTTTAGCACTGCAGAGAGGGCTTAGCAGTAGGGAAATTAATGTGGTTCAGGGACTGTGAGACAGTCCGATTACCGTTTGCCCCTACAAGAGTTTAATAGGGAATCCATTATGGCTGCCAAATAACATTCAAAGCAAATTCAAAGCAGTTACTATAAATATAATTAATCAAATATTAAGCTCTTGCTTCCTAATTCAAGGTATATATACTACTCAATACAAAGAACATCTCATATTGGAAGGTTACGAATGCAGTACCCAACAACCGGCACAGATAAACTCTAGTCTTCACTTGTATGTTCAGAAGCAGAGGATTTTGTCTGACTAAACAGAACCTGGCCAGATCTGTAACTTTCTCTTGACTGGATCATGACAAGAGACTCTAACATCACAAATTTCAAGCAAATGAGTTTGAATTTTAGGCAAGTATTTTGCACTTGTGTCCAGTAAACCATTTCAGAAGTCTGAAATCAGTTTCCAGAAATGATGATGGAAACATTCAAAATATGTAGAGGTTTTATCTGATTATGAAACAAGTGTTCCAAATGAGTTCCTTCACAGACGGACATATGTACCACATGAAAAATGGTACCACAAAAATAAATATATGTAAAACATTGCAAAACCTCCAGGAAGCTGTTGATGAAGCTGATGTGAAAACAATAAACATAGATCTTCACACAGCTCTAGCTATCTTGAAACAAACACCAGCCATAATTTTATCTCTGGCAATCCAAGATAATACATCCTTCAAGAGTTTCCGATTCCATCATGATTCCCACATAAACCATGCAATCACTATGAGATAATGTCCTTCAACAAACACACCAGAGAAAGTCCTAATGGGGGATTCTCTCAAGCCCTGACAAAATCTCCTGAGACTGTGAGTTCAATTAAAGATGCAATATGATGCTGGAAAAACTAACAAACGTCCTCCCCAGAGAGGTGATAAACATGGGATATAGTCATTGCAGAATCTTTTGTTTCTAATAAAAGAAGGAAAACTCCTAACCGAAATGCCAGTGATTGCCTTAACCAGAGATGACATAAATATTTATCTTACAGCTTTGAATTTCAGTGCTTTTATTTGAAGCAGATGGGGAGCTCAAATGCGACACAGACAAACATTCTTAATAAGTTTGAAATGTTTCTTTTATCTTTCTGTAGGCAATCGTCCAGACTTTTAGGTTTTTCTTATTTTTGTGTTTTTTCCTTTTAAAGAACTGTGTTTATCTAGATGGCCTTGAAGAATGTTTGTCACTCCTCTAATGCTGACCAACTCCATGGTGTAGTGGTTAGAGCGTCCACCTGGAGCGGAAGGTCGCGGGTTTGATCCCCGACCATGTCATACCAAAAGATGTTAAAATATGGTACTTGTTGGTCCCTGCCTGGGCTGGGCATTAATGGGTACAACAAGGACTGGTCGGTTCAGAGTCAGTATAATGTGTCTGAGTGGGGTATTCATGCTTCACTGCAGCATGGTATCTCAGTGAGCTAGCACTAGAAAACCAGCTTAAGTCTGGGCTAGTACAAGCAGCCGCACATACACATACACACATGCATGTAGTCATATGAGCGAAATATTCTCAAGCATGATGTTAAACCCAATTTCACCTCACCTCCTCCTCTAATGCCACCAATATTCCAGCTGTAATTATGACAGTCTGTGAACATTCGAGTCATGACCGCACAATCCAGTGATTGATGTCATGAGCATCAATATACTCGTAATGACAAGGATCAGCCGTCAGCGTGTCGGACCACCTGATACTCACGTAAGTCTCCTTGTATTCAATGATGCCGAACACTAGCCTGGAACTTCACAGGATTTGATAAATAGAACACCCACCGTATACTTAGAGTTATCAGTGGAATATATCCCAAACATAACACCACAGTGCCCATGCTGGCTTATACTTTATCTACCAGTTTACAGACATTTAGTATTTCTTCACTATTACAGCTTGCATGATTGACACAGACTGGAACAACTTCCTATTTCTAGATAATATATAAATAATTTATCAAATGACTGTAAACATAACAAATGTTACATTGCAACAAAACAACATTTTTGTTATAAATTGTTACTGGAGGCTTTCATGATTTTATAACACATGGGGAAAGAAAAATACATTGGGTTTTTAAAACAATTCTTTTAATTCATATGGGACATATGGGAAATAGAGACTGTTTCCTGCCAAGATTGTACTCAGATCACAACTGGTGGTTTAGATGGAGGTGTTGCAGAGTAAGGGGATGTAGACGGAGGCAACAACGATAATAATCAAATGATCATTGTCACTGGCATAACCTTTTCCTTTATTTTCAAAAGCAAATTTTGAAGCCCACTTGAACCTCCTGTTACAGGCTTGCAACAGTACTGGCAGTGACATGGTCCTCGAGCACCCTCCTCTCTGCAGCTTCCCACTTACAGTAACCGTGGATACACTACAAAGACAGCTCTGATGCTGAACATGTGGTTCTGTCTCCCACGCTATAAATGTGTTCACAAGCTACCACAGGTTCCTACTTGAAACCATTTGAAACTGAAGTCGTCTTCACAGAGCCAAGCCAAAGACTTCCAAAACACGGGAAATATGGACATACTTAATGTTTATTTAAAACCAACCTTTGAGATTGTATGTAACTATCTGTAAACAGAAGTATCCCATTCCGGAATCGGTAAGAGGTGTCAGGAAAAGGAGTTTAATGAAGGTGATGTTGACAGGCAATCTACAATACCACGCCCTTGTTTCCTTTGGATCTAAACATTTAACTGTTGGTTCTTTCATCATATGTAACAAGTGCCTTTGAGAAAAACACTATTGAATTTTGTTGGGTTTTATCTCCAAATTGCATGTCCTCACAAAAATGTGAAGAGGTCTTCCAATGATAAGAGGACCTTTGAAAGTATTAAATCTTACAATATCTTGTTTCTCGTATGTTATGATACAAGTAGTTTTCAAGAACATACTTTACATTTCAAGTCACCTCATAGGCATATAGATCAAACATAAAACCCCAACAGTTTCATTCAACTAAGAAAGCAATAATAGTTGTGCTTGTTTATGAAAAAAACAACACATTCACACAACTATAAGTAATAATAAGAAAATTATGCCCTTTTCACTACTGTGACCTAAAAACCCAGCTTCACCCATCAAGTACTGCCACCAATTACCTAGACTAAGGCTTAGTCTCTGAATATATATAATTTTGATAGTAACAAACAAGCCCATTTATATTGAAAAGGAGCCCTAGGGAGACCAGAGATTCAGGAAATCTAGACTTGCTTTATTTAGGGCTTTAGCACTGCAAAGAGGGCTTGGCAGTAGGGGAATTAATGTGGTTCAGGGACTGTGAGACAGACTACCAAATACCAAACACGTACTGCTACAAACATCTACCACCAAATATTTCAAACACGTACTGCCACAAACATCTACCACTAAATATTCCAAACACATACTGCCACAAAGGTCAACCATCAAATATACCAAACATGTACTGCCACAAACATCTACCACCAAATATTCCAAACACATACTGCCACAAAGGTCAACCATAAAATATACCAAACATGTACTGCCACAAACATCTACCACCAAATTCTCCAAACATCTACCACCAAATATACCAAACATCTACTGCTACAAACGTCTACCACCAAATATTCCAAACACGTACTGCTACAAACATCTACTACTACAAATGTCTACCACCAAATATTCCAAACACGTACTGCTACAAACATCTACTACTACAAATGTCTACCACCAAATATTCCAAACACGTACTGCTACAAACATCTACCACCAAATATTCCAAACATGTACTGCTACAAACATCTACTACTACAAATGTCTACCACCAAATATTCCAAACACATACTGCCACAAAGGTCAACCATAAAATATACCAAACATGTACTGCCACAAACATCTACCACCAAATTCTCCAAACATCTACTGCTACAAACGTCTACCACCAAATATACCAAACATGTACTGCCACAAACATCTACCACCAAATTTTCCAAACATCTACTGCTACAAGCATCCACCACCAAATATACCAAACATGTACTGCCATAAACATCCACCACCAAATATTCCAAACACGTACTGCTACAAACATCCACCACCAAATTCTCCAAACATGTACTGCTACAAGCATCTACCACCACATATTCCAAACATGTACTGCCACCAATGTGTAACACCAAATTCTCCAAACATGCAACTAACTTCCACCACCAAGAGCTGAGACCAATTTTTACCACCTGGTACTGCCACCAAATTCTCCAAATAAATATTGCCATCCACTAACACCATTCAGTACTGCCACCAACTTCAACCACCAAGAACACATCCATCACCATGGACAAACCAGGTACAAGTCAATAAAACATGTTTATTGCTAGTACTCCCTAGTCTGCAACTAGTTTTCCCCTACCTCTCACACATACAGTCACACTGTCCCCTGCTCCCCCTTCTGCCACTACAACACCATCCCACCCCACCCTCTGATACTGCAACACTACAACTGAAAGCTATCTCTCACAAGCTTGCCTTTGACACTGGATATGTTAAACATTCAGGTGTTGGCATTCAACATCAGTGGCTGGTGTGTGTCATGCCTT